AAATGAGTTAATGAAGGGTGTTGGAAGAGTTGCCTTCCAATAGGTGGGCTGAGCCCCTTCCCTCCATGAAGACTCATTTCACCAGCTTTATGAAGTATCCCCACCAATTTAAGAGCAAATCAACTCTCCTTGTGGCCAGTGTCAGGGGCTTGGCAGAGTTGTAAAGTGTCATGCAGGGACTTTGGGGACCTGCTCTGGGCCTCACCTGGTGAGGTGGTCTCATGTGGGCTTTGCCTGTTTTTTGGGGGGGTTTTCAAAGCCAGCTGTAGGAATTGTCTCCTCAACTCCCAAAGGGAGGGAGAGGGGGCCTGGCCCTTGGAATGACCCTTTCCTTGCTCTGCTTGTACATTTGATGCCCACTCCATGAATTACTCTACCCCATAGCTATGACCTCTTTGCCAAGAGGGTGGGAGGTGGTGGGAGGTACCTGAGATGCCAGAGCCTCCCAGGGAGGAGGACACATCTCCATGGTGTGGGGCAGGAGGGCATTAACAAGGTCTGCAGTGCCCTGAGCCACAGCTGGGGCCAGCACAGAGGGGGAGAGCTTGAGCCAGAGAGGAGCAGGGAGGGGGTGTGAGAGGCCAGGTTTGCTCTGCACCCTGGGTGGAGCCAGCGTGTGACCCCTGAGCTGCTCACTGGAGAGGTGACAAAACCCCCTTGTGTCCCCTGCTTGCAGCATGTGGAAGGTCTGAGGCCTCTCCCACCTGTTCCTGGACACCATGGACACGGAAGCCACGCAGCCCCAGGAGGCTTCGCTGACAGTCAACGAGCAGGTACGAGCACCAAGGGCTCCATTCCCACCAAGGAGAGAGGAGCTGGGGTTCAGCAACAGCCTCAGCCCCACCACCTGGGGTGAAAAATCACCTGGTGCCTGCCCCACCACCTGGGGTGAAAATCTACCTGGTGCCTGCCCCACACTCCCAGCCGGCCCGTTTGCCCGCACACCTGGGCACACAGAAGTTCAGCTCCATCTTTTGGAGCTTGGCTGCCTCATCTTGTGTTGAGTGTTTTTTTTTCATGAGGAAGAACAGGCAGGAGGTCTCCTCCTCTCATCCTGTGCCCTCTTGTCCCACTGGGGCTGCTGCTCCCAAGAGATCCTTGCTCGGGGCTTTGGCTGCCTGAGCCGTGGCAGAGCTGGGGGAGGAGCAGGGAGCTCTGCTCATCACTCCCCCCCCTCCCCGTGTCCCCAAGTACTGTCACACAGGGGAAATCCTATCGAGATGCAGAGTGTGCCTGGCCCCAGGTCGCCCCCCTGGCCCTCCCTCCAGAGCTGCCATGCAGGGCTGCAGATGTCACCTGCTGGCACAGGCAGAGCTGGGGGTACCAGAGCCCAGAACTGCTGATGACCTGGAGCAGTGAGGTGCTGGAGGGGCTGCAGCCCCCAACCATCCCTCCTCAAGGGGCCAGGGGTGCTGGTTTGTTTTGTCCCATGGGGCAGGGTGACCCTCTTCACTCTGCCCTGGGCTGGGGACACTGCTGGGGCGTGGGGGGGGGGTCAGGTGCCAGGAGCTGATGGACATCTTGGGGCATATTTGCAGGTTATTGTCATGTCCAGCCACGAAACTATCCGAGTGCTGGAGGTGGGTGTGGACACCCCACTCCCTGCCGAGGAGGACCAGAAACCCCTGGAGATCCCCCCAGGGGAAGGGGCACAGGGAGAGCCCAGCCTGGCGGGCAGAGTGGAGCCCAAGCCCAGCACCCAGAGCCCCTGCACTGAGGAGGTGCCTGGTAAGACATTGTCCTTTCCCCTGGGCTTATGGCCAAGGCCAATGGGATGAGATTCAACAAGACCAAATGTAGGGTCCTGCACTTTGGTCACAAGGACCCCAGACAGTGCTACAGGCTGGGGAAGAGTGGGTGGAGAGCAGCCTGGCAGAGCAGAGAACTGGGAGCACTGGTTGACAACCAGTTAAACATGAGCCAGCACGAAGGCCAGTGGCATCTGGCATCAGGAATGGTGTGGCCAGCAGGAGCAGGGATGTGATTCCCCCCCTGTGCTCAGCACTGGGGAGGCCTCAGCTCGAGTCCTGTGACTGGTTCTGGACCTTCACTGCAAGAAGGACCTTGAGCTGCTGGGGCAGGTCCAGAGGAGACAAGGAGGCTGGTGGAGGGACCAGAGGGAAAGTCTTACAGGGAGCTGAGGGAGCTGGGGTTGTTTAGCCTGGAGAGGGGGACCTTCTCACTCTCTGCAACCACCTGAAGGGAGGTTGTGCTCAGGTGGGGTCTGGGCTCTTCTCCCAGGCAACTGGGACAGTGACAGGACAAGAGGGCCTGGCCTGAAGCTGCTCCAGGGGAGGTTTAAGTTGGACATTAGGAAGCACTTCCTCATGGAAAGGATGATCAGACATTGGGATGGACTTCCCAGGGAAGTGGTGGAGGCACCATCCCTGGAGGTGCTCCAGGAAAGGCTGGAGGTGGCACTTGATGCCCTGGTCTGGAGATGTGGAGGTGTTGGTCATAGGCTGGACTTGAGGATCTTAAAGGTCTTTTCCAGCCTTGGTGATTCTGGGATTCTGTGATTCATTCCCTGGGCTGTTCATCCTAGCAAGCCAAGTTGGGCTCTGGACCACAGGGTTGGAGCCAATGGGACCAGCTATGCCCATCAGTGCAGGCAGACCCAAACCCCAGTCTGCAGCATCCCCATCCCTAGCTTAGGAGTTAACAAAACCAGTTCCTTCTCTGGGAGCTGATGAGAAAGAGCTTCCTGCATCCAGGACAGCCCTCAACCACGGGCTTGAAACAGAGAGGACATTTGTCAATGAGCAGTTTTGCTGGGGAGCTGGGTTTTCCTGCAGCCACCTTGAGCAGGGCCTTGGCTTTCCTCCCCTCCTCACCCCAGGATGCTGAGCTTGCTGTGGGTACATCCCTTCTCCCATGGGAATGCAGCTCTGGAAACAGGCCTTTGGGGACATCCTGCTTTATTCCTTACTGCTCTTTGGCCAGCACCCCAGTCCTTCTGCAGATCCATCCTGAATCTGCCTGCAGGGCCCCTGCCCCGTCCCCTCTCCTGCCACCCTTGTGCTTGGTTTAATAATAGCACTGTCCTCTGGTTGTCACCTCTGGGCTGTGCTCAGGACACAACCAGATTCTTATGCTTTTCAAAAAAAAAATAAATAAACAACAACAAATGGGCAGGATTTGAGTTTGTTTGAGGCTGGTTGGTAAAAAGGAGGGATGAGTCAACAGGGGCAAGTGTAAAGTTCTGCATCTGGGGAGGAACAAGCCCAGGGAGCAGCACAGGGTGGGGGGACCTGCTGGGGAGCAGCTCTGGAGACAAGAACCTGGGGGTCCTGGTGGCCAACAGGATGACCATGGGGCAGCAACGGGCCCTGGTGTCCAAGGAGGCCCATGGGCTCCTGGGGGGCCTCCGGAAGAGTGTGGGCAGCAGGTCAGGGAGGTTCTCCTGCCCCTCTGCTCTGCCCTGGAGGGGCATCTATGGAGAACTGGGCCCAGGTCTGGGCTGCCCAGTTCATAAAGGATAAGGAGCTGCTGGAGAGAGTCCAGCACAGGACCAGCAAGATGATGAGGAGACTGGACCATCTGCCCTATGAGGAAAGGCTGAAAGAGAAGGGGCTGTTCAGCCTGGAGAGGAGGAGACTGAGGTGGGGTCTCATCAATGCTGATCAATGTCTACAGGGGATGTCAGGAGGATGGGACCAGGCTCTTCTCAGCATTGTCCAGGGGAAAGGGGCACAAACTGGAGCACAGAAGGATCAAGCTAAACATAAGGAAAAGCTTCTTTCCTGTGAGGGTGACAGAGCCCTGGGCCAGGCTGACCAGAGAGGTTGTGGAGTCTCCTTCTCTGGAGACATCCCAAACCCACCTGGATTTGTTCCTTTGGGATTTACTGTAGATGACCCTGTTCTGGCAGGGGGTTGGGTTGGATGATCTTCAGAGGTCCCTTCCAACCCTGACCACTCTGTGACTCTCTGAGTGTCCCTCCATGCTGGGGGATGCTCTGGTCCTGCTGCCACGGCCTGGAGGTGCGTGGGCTTTGGGGGGCAATGTACAACAAACAAAAAAGGCTTTTACGTATATTCAAGACCTGTAGTTCTTTCTGGGCAAGGAACCAAACCCAAGAAACACCTGGTTTTTAGCTGTGGAAAATATTTATTTGGTAATTTACTTTTTTTTCTGCCAAAGGAAAAGGCAGGAAAAGAGAGTTTTGCTTCTTACAAAAACAGAACAGAATTAAGTGGATTTTATACTCAAGGGTTGCCATTATTAGAAGTTGAGCAGAATAAATAAAAGAGATTGCTCAAAAAGCTTAGGTCTTTTGCAAGTAATAAATATGGATTAGGAGCAAGGACTCCCCTTGCTTGGATGTTCATGGTAATATAAGAAATATTAATATATTCTTTGAATTTGGGTGTAAGGTGAAAAGACACCAAACAAAGCTCAGCCCACAGGCATCCCCCCTCTTTCAGCCTCTAGCCAGGCCATCTTGATCCCTTCCCCTTCCAGCTCCCCCTTCCCAGGGGAGCAGTTCAGGGGCTGACACCACTTTCCTTGCTGCTAATTTTGGAGCCAGCAGCTGGTGGAGGAAAGTATCTCCCCCAGGATCCAACAGCCCAAGAGAGGTGCCCACAGCCCGGGGAACCACTCACACCCAGTTGCTCCTTTTTGTCCCCTGACCCCACTATTTCCCACACTTATTCCTTCCCAAATCACCCAAACTTCTCCATTCTACATCCTTTGCCTCCTCCCCAAATCATCCCATAAGAAGCCCCCAGATGCCCTCCCCTGTGCCCTGTAACTGGGCACTAACCCCCCCTGGGGACCCCGTGCTGGGCTTCACAGCAGCTCCCTGGGGCTGCTGCTCCCCTGGGACACCCATGGGAGGGGTTTCACCCCCTGGCTGTGCATCCTTTGGGTGCCCCCCACCCTCACCCCCATCCCTGGTGCGGACGAGCTGCTCAACCACCACCACCTGTCCAACCTGTCTCCTCTGCCCTTCCCCAGGCAAAGCCAAACCAGCAGCCAGAGCCTCCCCCACCACCGTCCCCTCCGGCGGCACCTTCAGCCACCCCACGAGCCAGCACCCTCAGACCTTGGCCCCGCTGGCCGTGCAAGCCCCCCCGCAGGTAACTACCCTGCAGCAGCAGCAGGGATGAGGGAGGGCTGGGGTGGGGGACACGCTGGGGACCCCCGGGAGGCACCCACTTGCTGTAGGCAAACCCTGAGCGCGGAGGCGGCCGCCGGGGGCGCGGGGGGGAGGACCTACACCCCGAACCGAGGCGGTTTCCCCTCTGCTTGGCGCCCTCCCCGAGGGCCTCGTGC